TCACAAGGCTAAAATTACTTCAGATTGATTTAGAGATAATACATTACAAGACATAGCACCAGGGTTTAACATAATATCTAAGAAACTGATGAGTTACATTTATTCTGTGTTTTAGAGGTAATGTCAGTGGGACTGAATGTTATCGAAGGCTAAGATCCCTATAAATGAGTCAAAATGAGATGATTTTCTTGAAGGATAGAACACTGCTCATTCACTGGTTTTAACTCATTTATGTTCTGAATGACTAATGTGATTTAATTATTGCATTTAATAGATAGTGGTACTACCAAGTTCACTGGGCTGTAATGAGCTACCCATTCCAATATGCCCAAGTCTACTTCCTTAAATTTCAGACACATTGATATTGATATTAATGTTCAGACATAGCTTTTTTGAAGGTGGAGGGGTGGGAAGTCCTAAAAGGACCTATTTTTTCAATTTTCTTTCCATAAAAAATGCTAATGCAGCTCTTCAAAATACTGACAAGCATACCAGCCTGGTTTGAGTGCTGTTTAAGATCTAGCCTTCCCCAGAGTCCTCTTTGGCTCCTAGGTGCACAGAAGTTGCGTAAGTTCTTAGAGGAGCTGTTCCTTAACAGTATGTTAATATAGTTCATAAGCATGCAAGTGTAGCAGAGAAACCTCTGAAGAGCTTTTGTAGGGAAGAAATAGGCCAGAGCTGCAGAGAGGGACTGTATATCCTTGTTGTTGGGTCAGCAAGTGCGCTCAGCTGCTAAAATGTCATGTTGCAACTCAGCTAGTTTAATACAGCTGCTATAGGTCATGTTAGTTGTGAAGATCTGGCAACATGGCTTTAACTGTGGACTGTCAACTCACATGCTTCTTACCAGGAGCTCACATAACCTGCCCTGAATTCCACGCTGGCAAAGCTTCACTACTAGTCATTTTCTGCTGAACAGGACAAAACTGCCATTTCTTCATGATACAGAGATGTGATTTTAATACTAGGTATTGACAACCTAGGAAAAATTTATCTTTACAGTTCTTTCCAATCTAACCATTCTATGATTTTATGATTCTTTGATTCTGTGGTTATGTTTATGCTAATAAAACTGCTTTTATTTGGTTGTTTTTTTTTTTCTTAAGTGTTACTGAACAGAGACTGTTTAGACCAGGTACACAAAAGTAACTATGGAACAGGCATTGAGGCAAGTGTCTAGATTGCCACAAAAATTGGTAGGAATTTAGACACTTTAATAGGAGTTTTTGAGGACCTTAATACATCTGAGCATTTGCATTACAAGAGTGAGTGGTGCAATAATTGGCTGCTTTTTCTCCTCTCCATCCTTCAGTGCATGGGGCAATCCTGTTCACAGCTGTGTAGAAGAACTTCTAGGTTTTTTTACAAAAGTTCTTAGAAGATTTCTTGTGAATAGGACAGGAATAGAAATTATGGCTGCACAATTACAATAAGCTGATACAAATTTGTCAATGCCTCTGCTGCAAGACTCTTCTATGATGATAGCCAAATTGCTTTGAATAAACTTTCCACAGGTAAGTCATTACCTTTAGGTTCTTTACTTTTGCTTGCCTGACTTGAGACACTTCTGAATGCTCAGAAGTCCTGAGCATTTACAAATTCAACCAGAGTCCCTAAGAGCAAACTGCTGAGCCTTCAGACTGCTAAAAGTTAGTTCCTGTGCTCCAGAAAATCAGTCCTAAAGTGGGAGCTGGCAGCAAACATACAGAATTTCATCTTTGTCTTTGACCTCGGTAATATTTGCTTCACAGGGGTGCTACAAGATTAATTCATGTTTGCAAAACAGACCGTACAGTGATGAACACTGGAAGTCTCTGAGGATGTTAATTTTCTTTGCTTTAGAGCAAGATCCATGAGTGTGCAGTGAATATTATTCTTGTCTAACAGAAAAGCTTCGGAGGTGAGGTTGAGTGTTTTCTGGTCTTCTGCCTTAACAAAAAGATAATTACATTATTGTAATTACATATTTAGCTCTTACTGTTCTCCCCAGCAAATTAGAATGCAAAAGATTGTGAAAGATTATTCAGCTTTTCTAAGGAGGGAACAGTGTGAGTGATTGCTGTTTTCCCAGGGTAGACAAGAAGAACAGTAGCAGCAACTCCTGCTTTTCTCAAGCCTTTGAACTTTACAGGATCTCCAGTCCAACTTAAAAGAAATAGTTACTGCTGTCCTTTTGAAAGTAGCTTCTACCTCTTAGAAAGAAGGCCTAACTGTAGCAAGAAAAACACCTCAGTTTCAGAGAGTTTTCTGAGCTCTAAGAGCTAGAGAATGTTGAAGAAGGAAACTTACAGAAAATCAGGACCACGATAAAGAGTGTTTATAATTATTTGACTGCTTGTTTAGATTACTTCATATTCCACAGAACACATGCCTTTGCTTTAAGTGCTGCTACGTGCTTCTTCAAGTTAATACAAATACAAGTACAGCTAAGTAGATTATTCCAAGATCCCAATAGTTGACATGAGTAGTGATTTGGCAAGGCCCTTAAGTATAGCTGGATTATGATAGCAGCGTCTAATTTTTAGATATCCTGACATCTAGTGGAAGTTATTGCTCCTAGCAGAATACGGGGGTTCATCTGCCTGTACAGTGACTGGGGAGCACAGAGAAAGTTAAGTATCCTGTTCTTGGATACAATAGCAAAACATTCACCAGGACAGCTGCCTAAGAAATGCATTAGGTAAAATGTAAAAATGAAGAATTTGGCCTGAGCCCTACCCATTTCAGACACATGCTCACAAAGCTGGCTGCAAAATGATGCGAGGTCCCTAAACTGGTTTCTGGTTTTGAGCTTGGAAAGAATTTCTAGTGACGGATGTAGAACGATCCACGCAACTTGGATTCAGATTGTCTCAAAAGGGATTTGAACCTGCACCTACCATGCGTACTTTAATAGCGTGTGATAAATTGGCCATATTTTCATTCATTTTCTGTCATGCCTTTCTGTGTTGGATGGAATAATTAAGCCTTTGATGGACCGAAGATGGCAACAGTGTATAAACCCAGGGCAAAATGGGAATATAGGGGAACATCTAGAATATAGAGTCCTGTCTCATGCCATAAGCTGGCTAAGCTTGTGGCTAAGCTTTTGACAGAAGACAGGAGAATTTGTTTCTCAAGGCTTGATAGATATTCCTGCTATTCCTATTTCAAATATATTCCAGAACCTGTTTTTCTCTCCTTTTTGTTTTGTGTTGTTTTAGCTGGTGACCACATTGCATTTAGTTTAAATAAACATCTGATCTTCACTCCTGTGATGTGAAGAAACCAAAATCTTCCAGTGTTTTCTCAGATGGCAGGATCTGGTTGTCTTTTTGGTGCATCTGTTTCAGTTTAAATATCTATTCATTGAACACGAGCATTCTATTAGCAGGAACAAATACAGTCCCATCGTGATTTTTACAGTAGCTTTATACATGTGTATATCTACTTTGGCTGATGCCTTATGGAATCATATAAAGATTATGTGAATTTTAATGGCTTTATCACGTTGGCATTATATTATTTATTAGTCTGTATAAATGTATCCCCCCACTCTGCACTAATTATTAATCCACTCCTTGAAGTCATTCAATTCTCCCTGACTTTTTTCTGTTTCTTATCTTCAGCACATTGTAGTCCATTTCTGCATGTATGCTGTACTTTTCAAATACAGCATATATGCAGAAATATACATATTATAGCACATAGAGCATATGTACAGAAATAATGGCTTGGTTTCCATAACCTGCATACATGCATACCTCAGTTCTCAATGAAAACCTCAGTCTGCTGTCTCAAAATACCAGGGGTCACTAGTACTGGAGGCACAGTGCTGTAGGCAGTGGTAAAAAGTGCTGCTATTCAGTAATAATAGCTCAATGTTAACAGGATAGGGATTGAACAGGAGGTGCAGGTGAGGGAAGTACCAGCAAACACCTGAAGATTATATTCCTCCAGGGTAGTACTTTGGCACATTGGTGAGAACATGTGAAGGAAGAAGACTGTGTATGTCGGGGGAAGGTGCTGATTGCATACAACAAGTGATACAAGCTCAGCTAGGGGCTTCTGCGTATGGACACTTGAGGGCTGGGTTATCATGAAGGGCCAAATAAGTATAATCACCGAATCACAGAAACATTAGGGTTGAAAGGGACCTCTGGAGATCATTCAGTCCAACCCCCCTGCCAACACAGAGCCACAGAGAGCAGCTTACACAGGAATGTGTCCAGCGGGTTTTGAATGTCTCCAGAGAGGGAGACACCACAACCTCCCTGGGCAGCCAGTTTCAGGGCTCTGCCACCCTCAGTGTAAAGAAGTTCTTCCTCATGCTGGTAACACACGGTAAGGAGATGGAATACAGTACTGTGTGGTGGGCTCTGAGACTCTGAAGATAGCCACTACTGAATTGGGACCATCCTGTCCCATGGCCCATTAAGGAAGGAAAAACACTGTGACACTTAAAGGGTAAATAGGAGTAGGGCTCAGTGGACTGGGAGTGCTGTGCCAGAGAGCTAGGCACTCTTGGACACTTCTTAGAGAAGTACAATGAGATGCAGCCCTCTTACACCACAACTATGTAAACATACTAGGACAAACTTCTGGAAATAGTCAGGAATTGTTACTTTATAGAGGGAAAAGTAAGAACATAAGGACAATGTTTGTTACTTAGAAAAGTCACTGCAGCGAATTTAAGAACTACTTAGAAGAAGACCTTTTGATGCAGGTATAAAGGACTATAAAGACAGGTGCTACTGTCCCTGGCCCCATGAAGGGTCTATGACACCACATTTTTTTTGCTCTGGTATCCAGAAGAGCCTCTGCTTGATGAAACTTTTGACAGTAGCAATACTAGCAGTGTTTTGTGTAGCTGGCTGAACTTCATGTCAGAAACCAGACCGATGCAGATTAAGGACATGACAGTGCTGTCAGGTAGCAACCTCTAACTAGTTTCATGTTACCACGTTTTTGTCTCAGGAACTGTTCTTGCAGAACTGAAAGAGGGTAAATTTACGTTAGCTATTAGGAAGAAATTTTTTACTATGAGGGTGGTGAGGCCCTGGCACAGGCTGCCCAGAGAAGCTGTGGGTGCCCCATCCCTGGCAGTGTTCAAGGCCAAGTTGGTTGGGGCTTGGAGCAACCTGGTCTAGTGGAAGGTGTCCCTGCCCATGGCAGGGGGTTGCAACTGGATGAGCTTTAAGAGATCCCATCCAAACCAACCCATTCTAGGTTTCTCTGATAATTCTATAACTTCATTAATGACCTTATTCTAGCCTGGTGGCTCCTCTTTCATGAACCTGTGCCCTCACTTCATTTCTGTACTGAATCACTCAGAGAAAGCTTAAATTAAATTTCAGCATGTAGTTCTGATGTATCTCTATGATATCCAAGAGTCCTCTGGATCCATCTTAGCTAGGAAAAATAAATTTGCTTCACAGCATACGTGGAAGCATGGCAGGACGGTGCAGCTCTACGGGCCACAGCTGGAGAGGTGTTTACACGTCCAGAAACCCTGTCTTGCGGGTCAGTAATTTTAAGATCATCTACAACATCACACGTCAAAACTCTTACATTTTATTCAACAGCCAGTAGGTCGTATGGGAAGAATCACAAGTACGATTATGAAGTGAAACTGGTGTGACTTCATTCCTGGCCACATATTCTCACGTGGATCGACTCACTCTCCCTATGCCCGGCAGAACGATGTCAGCAAAGAGCAGGAGGTGTGTAGGTCTGTTTTGTGGCCCACCTGCTGCAGACACAGCCCTGGATCCGGATTTATTCACCCGGATTTCCCACAAAGCTGCAGGGACAGGGTTTTCTCCAGCGGCTCCGCGCTGCTGAGGGGCCTCGATGCCTTGCGCCTGGAGCGCTCCACGCCGCGACCGAGAAGCCAAAATACTGACAACCTCCCAGTCCGACCCCTTACTGCCTTCGGGTACGGAGCCCTTCGGGAAGGCACAGGAAAACCGCAGAGAAGCCACATAGAGGCACACGCCGCGCCATGACGGGAGCCCCCAGCTCCCTGAGGTGCGCCCGCGCTCTCCCCTCAGGCGGGAAGCCCAGAGGCGGGAGTTGCCTCAAGACAGCCACCAGGTGGCGCCGCGGCGCTGCCGGAAGCGGGGCGGGCGCTGAGGGCGGTGGGACCTGCCTGCCTGCCCGCCCCGGCGCACGCAGCGCGGTGAGGCGAGGCGGGCCCGGGGTGGGGGCCGGGCCGCGCCGCGCCGGGCGAGGCGGCGGCAGTAGTGGCGGCCGCCGGCGGGCCATGCTGCTAAAGCTCCTGCAGCGCCAGACCTATACCTGCCTGTCGCACAGGTATGGGCCCTGCCTCTGCCTCGGGGGCCTCGTCCTGATGATCGTCTCCGCCCTGCAGTTCGGGGAGGTCAGTACGGCGTTGCGCCGGCGTGGCGTGGCTGTCCCGCTTCCCCTCCCTTTTTCCCTCCCTGCGGGCAGCTCCGGCCGAGCTGAGTCGGCGGGGACAGAGGTGCTGCATGGCAGGGAGCCCGCGGGTGCGTGCTGGATATATATATATGTATTTATGACATATGGAAATGGTAGTGGTGCTCCCTTCTCCCTCTGGGTCGTTAACCATCGTGGCAGAGAAGCGACAAGAAGCTGCCCCGCCGTGTGTCGCGTTGCGGGAGTGAACAGCTGTAGGCCTGCCGTGGGGACGGGGCTTGTTCCCTGCCGCCTCCCGGTGCGCGGCGGCTCTCCCTCTTGAGACAGCCGCGAGCGTGAAGTGGCCGCCGGGAGGGATAGGTGCCTTCCAGCAGTTCTGGCCGGCCCCGGCAGAGGGGAGCCGGGTAGAAATCTGCGTGCTCCACCACGATTTTTTGTGGTTTTTTTTGTCTTGTGCAATTTTTTCCCCTTCCATTACCAGGTGATTTATTAGTGCTGTGGGGTTGTTTTTTTTTTTTTTGTTTTTTGTTTGTTCTTTAACTCTTTAAAAGCCTGTGCTGGATGCAGCCTTCAAGTAGAAACTGGGAGTGACAGGTTCTTCCTCCCGTCCGGAGTTTAGAGAGTTAAATGTAGCCTCTCTCCAAGCTGCCTGCAGCTCAGCAGTGTGTATTACATTGCTCCCTGCATACTGTTTGTCTGCTATTTTGTAAATGATGCAATGCAACTTATACTTTTTCTATATGTGATTTTCGGTATAGTATGTTTTATAGAGCTTCATTTCACGTTGCCCTGTCTATTTTGGAAGTCATCAGCTAATGAATCTGGAAGGGGAAATAACACTAGTCTTACTTCAGTGTAGTGTTAAAGAGTATAGTGAGTATTCAGGGAATTAAAGTATTTTTGTTAGTGTAAAAAGATGGTCATGCTAAATGTAAGCAGACTGGAATTTCCTGATTCCTAAATTGTTAGGTTTTTTTCTCCCCCTCTTCCTTTTTTTTAGTTCCCTGTTTTATTTTGATGGGCCCTTTCTGATACAGAAAAAAAAAATGAAGAGCTCTAAAGAGTATTACTAAAACTCCTGAGTGTAACACAGTCAGAACTTTATTTTGTGTATCTCTACATCTTCTTTGCATAAAGTGCTTCTTTCCTGCTGTCCTGCAGAGTTTCACAAGTCCCTGAAACACGTGAAAGCTATCAGCAATACTTTAAGGCAGCTGTTTGTACATGACTACATGATTATCAACTTGGATTGGTGTATGTGTCTTGGTGCTGTGAAACTTTGATTACTTTCTTCAGAATTGGGAATTAAACCCAACCTTAGGGTTTCTTAGAAGTTTGAAGGTTTTTTTTAAACACTTCAGTAGTTGTCAAGGTTATGGCTGATTTTGCCGAGAATCAGGCAAAATCACTGCTCAGAATTCCTACCAAATCTTAGTTTGCTACTTCCATCTTTTTTAGATCTATTTGGAAAGCTTACATACTATTTAGACATTGAACAAAGAACTGTCAGACTCATGTAGAAGTAAATCTTCAAAATTATATGTTAAGATAAAAGTGACCAGCAGTGTTTTTCAAAAAACCCAAACAAACAAAAAACCCAAACCCACACCTTTATGGATTTTATTTTTGTTTTTTACAGGGGTGGTAAATGAGCTTGGTAAAAGATGTCTGCATGCAGTTTGCTTTTTACTTTTATGATTTGAAGTGGTCTGTTTTCATAAATAATGGTAGTTCAAGGATTTAGGAAATACTAGGCTTGTGGGAACTAGCAGCCAGACCTCTTCTGGCAACTATAGCGGGAAGAGAAAACACTTCTCCAGTACAGAGTCTGCAAGTCAGCAACTAATAAATAACTAGTAATACAAAATAATAATATATAAATAACTAATAACTATATAAGACTGTTTTGAAAATGAAACCAAGAACTCTTTCTAGTTATTATCAGCTCAGTAATTTTTTAATAATTTATAGGGAACTCTCAAGCAGTAAAAAGTAGCACGAGACATTGTTTTGTCAGACCCTGTGTCTGAGCAGCATTTGTAGTTCTGCTTTTCCTCCACACCCAGGCCCAGCTTTTTTTTTTTTTTTTTTTTTTTTGTCCTAGTAGGCAAAATTAGATCTGCTTGCTTAGATTGATACTAATACCAATATTAATGGTGGCATAAAAATAGATGGCTGGGCCAAAAAAATTGAGATTGGTAATGGTATCCTCCTAGCCTGAAGCTGAAAATTAGTTTGATTTCAAGAAAAAAACCTTAAGCTTAAAGAAGTAACAGTGCATTAAATTTGATTCAGGAACATTTCTGCCAAAACATAGAGGGTAGCCAGGTCTAAGCCAGTGCTGTGTCCTAGTTGCAAGATAGAGCTTTAAATTTTAGAACAGTTTGGTTGCAAACCCTTGGCCATCCTTCCGTAGGTCTCTCAGCTTTGTGAAGTGTTTTATAACTGAAACATGCCAGACTCACAGTTACTACCTGTCTGATACAGTATCTCCTAATAGAGGGTATCTCTCACCCTCTTTTTGACGTTGTTTCCTTTGTGGTTTTATAATATCAGTATGTAAAGTTGTAGCAAAGAGGCCTCCAGGCATTATTGCAACATACAGAATGTGACCTAGAGGAAACAGTTACAGGGGAAAAAGTATCCGGTGGGAAGAGCTTAACTTTTTTCCTAAATGTGTTTTTAACAAGATCTGTCCTGAGTCTTTTTGGTTATAGCTGCATAAAGGTAAAAAGCAAAGGCTTGAACTGTTAATGTTTTTCTCCCAGAGAGCCATGTTATTCATATAATAAATTACATACTTAACTGAATACTTCTGTATTTCTTCTAGAAGCAGATCAGTGTGTGTTAATTCATCGGTATCAGTAGTAGTAATTGTTCCTGCGTGGATATCTTTCAGTGTGTGCTGTATTAAACTAGTGTATTTGGCTGAAGGATGTAATGACTTGCATTTGAAAAAATGTGATAGTGTGTTTTTAAGATGCTTCCTGGCATTTAAAAAAGTGTGTTAAAGGGAGGGAACTTTTATACTGACCTGGGAAATCATGTCCTTTGTAAGGGGAATGAACTTGTACAGATGTGATCTTGGTTACAAAGAGACCATGTGCAGCTTTGGCAGGAATTATGTATATGCATGCACTTGTCATCCAGCGATATGATGGGGCTTCCCTTCTCTCTAGGAGGCTTTAATTTGCTTTAGCGGGCATGAGAGTATAGAAATATATCTCTCCCTTCTTAAAAGGGAGGTGGTAGTCTTTATGTTATGATTTTGAATACTACCTTAGAGAAATGGTATATTGCATGGTTCCAGTAATACTAGAAATAACAGTAAAATTAAAATCTAGGAATAGTGGTGTAAAGTAAATACTATTCTTTTCTAGTATTTTTTTAAACTCTCCAATACATATAAATATGTACTTAAACAAGTAAATAAGCCATGACACCTTCATCTCTAAAGCAGCATAAGATGCCACTGTAGTTTTTAAAGTTAGACTTTTACTGTAAAAAAAATACTATAGCAGGCTTATCTCTGAAAAGAACCTAAGTGTTTTGTATTATTTTTGTTCAGATTACTCGTGCTTTTTTGTTTTGTTTCTTTTTTGCTGTATCAAAACATATTAAGCATTTTTAGTGTTGAAAAGTCAGATTATTTTGTTGTTGTTTAGAACCATGATGTAAGATACTTTGTTAGCAATGGAAACCTAATTATGGGCCTTTGTTTTGTATGTGTATGTACATTTCGGAATGGAAGTGGAATGTAAAGTTGCAGCTTTCCAAAG